AACATTGACAAGCGAGGGTGCTTGCAACTTTTTCACTTGATTTGGACAATAAAATTATTACATTGCCATTGAATCAGAATTGTCTTTGCCTTGGCTAAAAAGGTGTTTTTATTTTTTAATTATCGAGTTTGGTAAGGGTGCTTTAGTATTTTTATATAAATAAAATATTATTTAATCTGAAAAAAATAATTATAGTTGGAGCTAACATGTGTGAGTTGTACCGTGATTTTTGAATAGTATATATAGAGTTATTTGATGGTCAAACTCCAACTTCAATAATAATATTTTTATCTTTAAATTATCACCTCAATTCTTGAGATGATATATATGGTAAAAATATTTTTACGAGATAAAAACTCAATTATACTCATCTTATGACGAGAAACCTAATGACATTAGAAGTGATTATTTTGGTGTTAGAATGTGGCTAATCAACCACTTTTTTTCCTCTTAAAATATTTTTAAATTAATAAAAAATCAAAAATTAAAACCAATAAATGAGTATTGATTTATTTTTTCTGATAAGACAAAAATTCAAAAATACCTTAATTATACTCTTCTCATCATAAAAAAAACTAATAACACCAAAACCAACTTTATTTTATTGGTGCTAGAATGTGGCCATGGCTACTTTCTTTATCTCTCCTTCCTAATTTTCTAGTGAATTTTCCTCTTTTTTTTCAAAGTTTGGTACTATAACTTAAAGGAAATGAAGTTTAGGATCTAAATATAAAATCTTAAAAGTCAAAAGGATTGAAAATGAGCAAATGGACAAGTTATGGATGGAAATGAACTTTTTTGTGTGAATATGGAAAAACCCTATTATTATTATTATTATTTTGGTCCTTCTTCTTTTATTTTTTTAATCAATAAATTTAATTTTTATTGCTTAAAATTGACCTTTAATTTAATTACAAAGTTGCATCAAACACATTAATTGTCAAGAAAATACAAGAAAAAGAAAATACCATCGCATAAAATATCTCGGGCATCACATAACAGGTTAAAATTGAAAAAGAGAAATCGTTGACCAAAACAAACGACACTATTCACCCAACATGCCATACATAATCATAATAAATTGAGAGAGCGTATTACTATAATAATAATAAAAAACTAGAGCAATTTATTTCATGAACACTAGCACTTGATTTTCATTTTGGTAACCCGCGAGTCTAAACTTTTAAACGATTTTTTTTTTAATAAAAAATAGTTTTTTAATCCCAAATTATTAAACCTAGTTTACAATTTAAGCTTTTATTGGGCTTCAATAACCAGCCCTTTGCTTTTGTTGTTAAAGATGACAATTTCATCAGACACATCGATTTCAAAATATAAGTGAAGGATTCACTCATCTAATCACAAGTTGTATATATATTCTGGTACTATATATGCCATGATTGTCACCTGATATGTAGCGATGAACGATGATGTTACCTCTTCAATCCCATTAATTCTTGATAAATTAGTATTTGTTTTAAATAAACACCACGTATATTATTTTGTATAAAATTCTTAAGCGATAATGTATGGTAAATTTATTCATTCCATAACTACAATGTAATTATCATTTTGCAATTTCTAAAAAAATGAAATGTATTGATAATAAGAGTATTTTAGTTTTTTTTTATATTACTCATTAGTTATTAAATGATTGATTAAAGGTGTGTGTTGTTTTTAATTTTTAAAATATAATAAAATAATTTAATTATCTTTTAAAGTTAAAAAAGTTTAAATTGATTGACTAAGATATTTATGTCTTTTCACATTTGAAACATAATAAAATGACAACTATACCCTTAAAAAACCAATATATCTAAAGGCATTATTGTCTTTTCTGTATGATTTTTTTAATTACTAGTTTCATTGAGTGTTATTTAATCTTTTTATATAGATTAAATATTATTTAAATAAAAAAAACCGTTAATGTCTATGTAATGCATGCTAACGCGTGCAACGTCTCCTAACAACAAAAAATATGCTTCAACCATGTTATTAGAAACATCATCATGTTCTTTCTTTGTTGATGCAATGATGTCAACTACATTGAGATGGTTTCTCACTGGTGTAACTTTTTTTTTTTTTATTTCTCCTCTATAAAATTACAGTTTGGTTTTCTTTGTTTATAATATTTTGACTATAATTTTTATTATTTTGATTTGTGATTTTTGTTCATAGTCTTTTGGTAAAGGTTTTTTTTTGTTTTTAACTTTATCCTTTAATCCCAATTTATTATATTTATATTTTTTTTTAATTTGGTTCTTATCCTTTTGATTTATAAGTTTTTTTGGCCTTTTTATAAATGTTTTATTGATTTTTAATTTTATCATTCAATCCAAATTTATAGTACATTATTTTTTTCAATTTGATCCTTATTTTTTTTTTAGTTTTTTTATCATTTTGTTAAAATTATTTTTCTTTTCACTTTCATCATCCAATAGAAAATTCTTAGTTGCCCTTTAATTTATTTTGATTTTTACTCTCATTCTTTTAATTGCTATATTTTTTTTAATAAAAATTGTAACATTCTATGTAATTGATTTTTTTCAATTTCATCTTTCAACGTCTGATTTATTAAAAATTGAGCTTTAAGATTTTTTTATGTATAGTGCTTTCGGTTTAATAATCTAAGTCACGAGTTTAAAAAGTTGATAGAAGTTAACATCCTTTTATTTGCTTATTTTATATTTTGATTTCATTGTTTAACAATATTTTTTTAAAAAAATTGGTTTTATGGGTTAACCCGGGCTGAGTCGACCATTATTATTCAAGTTATATATTTATCATACTAAATTGGGTTGACTTTAAATGTTTTTTTTTTTTTTTTTATTTAATTTCATCATTCTATATTTAATTAGTTGAAAATTAAATTATATTTTCTTCGCTCTTTTCCAAGTTACTGTGATTATTATTTTTTCATTTAACTTATACCTGTATACTATTGTTGCCTATTTTTTTTTAATAATTTGATTAAAAAAATCTAGCTTATATGACCAAGGCTATAATTCAAGTTGATTTTTTTTTTTAAAAAAAACATGCTTGTGATATTTAAATATTATTTTTTATGAAAAAAATAATACGGACATGTGAGTATAGTGGAATTAAACATCTAGTATTTTGTATAGAATACATAAGTGATGATTAATTATACTTCGGTACATTCCATGGTACATTGCAAATACTTTATTTTATTTTATTTCTGGTGGCTAGTGGGAAGGGGGGACTAGTTGGAGTGCAGTTTCAACCCTGTGATTGATGAGTGGGAAAATGTTTCATTCACCGGCATATCGCTCAACGCTAAAGTTTCAACAATGGATGTCTGTGTTTGTATTACAGTAAGAAAATCTGTTTTCTTTTTTCGGATCTTCTTTATTGGGATTTTAAATTTTTGAAAGAGTAGAATTATTTCTTTTGGAAACACTCTGGGAACTGATGCATATCATGTTTCCTGTTAGGTCCCGAGCCTGCCTGAAGATCGTCTCTAAGAGCGAATTTAGTTTGGAACACACCCACACACATATACAAGTACATGGAGATCTGTATTGTCTTTGATTTGTCGTGTCAAAATTAAAATACTCTAGAAACCAGAAACGACTCGGTCAGCCATCTTCACAGAAACGACTAAAAGACCTTCGATTACATTTTGACTATATTTTCTTTTGTCGTTGAGAGTTTTCTGAGCATGAATCCAAGTTTAAAGGGCAAAGAACTCTATTGCTGACGAGCTATGACCATAAATTAGTTCTTCTCCATACAGAAAAAATCATTTCTCAAAAAAAAAGAAGAAAAAATAATGTCCATTTTCATATGAATTTATATAGAAATATCCGAATTAGTTTTCCAATCTTTCTATGTTGCGAGTGCTCCTTTCATCTCCAATTAAGTTTCTATTGATCACACACGTATAACCTTGCACAGAGAAATCAAGGAAAAAAATGGTAAGAAATTTGGCAAATTAAGTTTGGAATTAATGGAGTTGCAAGTTTTAAACTCCACCGAAGCTTGCATTTGTTAGGAGGTGCACAGCAATCAAATTTAACAGTTGTTTTTATAAAACTCTCGTGTTTCATTAATAAAATAAAAATTAAATTGCTATTCATTTTTGTCTTTTGCTTCACCGTCATTTAGCAATTCTTGAAATGCTGTTTAAAATATAAAAATGCCTTTTATTAATTTAACCTCTGTGAATGGTCTAGATCAAATAGCTACGACTAGCTAGCCAAAGTTTCCAAAAGAGCAGTCTAGTCACTTAAAAACATTATCCCCTCCTCCATTCACTGCGAAGATAAAGAAATTCATTGCTTGGGACCAAAACACCAATTCCCCATGTGGGCAGAGAATTTCAAACGTTGATTGTAACTGTAGCAACCGATGATAAACAAGTGCAGAAATCAACTATATATCATACTCATAAATATGCTAACCTGCTTGGTTGCTTACCCGTATAATATCAATGTCATTGGCTGCCTTCTTCTTCTTCTTCTCTTTTGCTTTTCTTTCATTTAAAAGAGAAGAAGAAGAAGGCAGATTATTCAACAATGAAAGAAAAGCAAAAGAGAAGAAAAGGAAGGCATGTAATTAATATCCTTCATTTAAAACCCTTGAAGTTACAAATTCATTATTTTATAGAAATTCCATTTACGTGAAAGTTAACAAGAAATCATCGGTCCATATTCTTATAATTACGTGGAATTACATCATGCCACTATCTAAACAAACACAGTTTCTGCACTTACAAGTTACAGCCACACACTCACATTTAACCAGTCCAATCAATACGTTTAAATGGCATGCACATAATGTGATTAGATTGCATCCAATGGATAATGACACTCGCAGAAGATCTTTGCATGCAATGAGAGATGAACCATTTTAATGTTGGTGCAATTATCCTGCACAGGACATGTTTGCATCAAAATGATAAAAAGGAAAACCTCGTCTAGTAATTTTAACATAAACAAGAAGAAGAATAAGATGAAGAGAGGCCTTGGCCAGCGATAATCATGAGTCATGACATTGTAATATTTAGTGATGCAAAAATAACAATTTGATGTACATCAACTAAAAAGATAGAGGCTCTTGCCAGCACAGTACTAAATCTAGCAGCCTATGCCATATAATCTAAAATATGATGTTATAGCTATGCGGAAGGCAGCGATCATTCTATCAAAACTAGGGTTCACCAGACCAGTCCCTCTAACTTCATATTCTTCATTACTCTTTATTTATATAGTACTTGGGATTGTTTTGGCTGACAGTGGGACTTATAGAGAGACATAGGTTTACAAGATAACCTTAAAAAACGTGGGTTTAAGTATTCAGTTATGGGAAGGAGGGTGAGTCTTTGGTGGAGAATAATCCAAGTGGAAACCAGGATGTCTTTCACCACGTTTCTTTTGAGGCACACGCCAAGAAACTGAAAAAGGAGACTCTTTTTTAACAGCACCTGAATTTTTCTCTATCTCATCGACCGAGTCCAACTTCTGTTTGGCTTTCGAGTCCTTCAGCTTTTGAGCACTATCACCCAATTGAGTCTTAGCAATGCTATCTTTTTTCGCTGCTCCAAATTCATTTGACGAAGAGGACTCCACTGTGGGTACTGTAGCAACTGAAATCTCCTTCTGATCATTCTGTGAAAAGACCTAGGTAATGTTACAGCACGTCATGCAAGCAATTGAAACTCAAAAAAAAAAAAAAAACTAGCAACTTGCACCAACCTGATAGGGAATTATGTGAAATTTCTTCTCAGGGTCATTGTTAATGTCAGCAAGTGGTCTGGCGTTACATGCATGCAAAGAAAGGCATAAAAGTGAAAGAAGAAAATAGCAAGGATATGTGATCACTGACATATTAAGGAAGACAAGCTTTAGCTGGCTAGAGAGTGTTTTAAGGTTCTAAAAATACAAGAAAAGCTTCCTGTATATGAGTGCTGGTGAGTAGAAGTGGTAGTAGTTAGGCCAGTAGCACTGGTGGGATTTGTTGGAAGAGCATTAAATGCAAGTATCTCAGGAGATTAAAGTCTTTGTTTTGCAGAACATGCAAATGTATGGTGTGAGGAAACGGAAGGAGAAAGTGTGAAGATATGGTCGGTTTCCTTGTCCCTTCTCTTTCACAATTATATCAATGGGGTCCCAAGACTCAGAGCCCCCACCAGAGAAACAGGAGTTTAGAGCCTCTCCAGTAGATATACTGGGGAGAGAAGTAGAGAGAGAGTCAAAAGAGAGATTTTCCTTACAAAAATATCACAATATATAATTAAGAAGCAAATGGAAGCAGGAATAGAGAATATGCAATGTTAAATTAACATTGACAAATTCAAGAAAGCTAGTGCAGCCCTCATTCGAGTCATTGTTTCTACCGAAGAACTCCATTCTTTGTCTGTGTTAAACCTTCGCTCCTTGCATACTTCCTGCCTCGTTTCTAACCCTTGCCTGCCTTTTTTTTTACCTTGAAAAACTTGTTATGAATATTTTACGAGTCATATATTGTATTATTAATGAAAAGTAGGTTGCCTTTTTAGTTTATGTTTATTATAACTGTTGCTTGTATGTCAATCTGTGTATTATGATTAATTTAAATCACCTTAATAGGAGACAAAAAAAGACAGAGGCAGCCAACATGCGTTACATTGTTTGATGCATGCATCCATTTTAAAGGTACCATGTATCCATATACAAATTTTGAAGTGCTATACAGTGTAGGGTAAATTCTTCAATGTCTTGGTAAATGCAACGTGCTTTGACACATATCTTTTCGGAGGTTTTATATGGGAAATAGGAGGATTTTTTTATCACCGTTTTAAAAAAAATTGTAAAGTAACATAATGAAAAACAATTTAGGGATATAGTGCAGTTTTACAAGTAGTAGATAACAACTGCAACATATGAGTTACAGATATCAACTTTTTTTTAGCATCTTTATTGATAAAGTTAAGGTGGAGAAGGAAGATTAAGAAAATAAGGAAAACAAAAATGCTGAGTTCGTTGAGCCTCTTGATCAAAACATGGCTTTTTTTATTTCTAAATCTGAGATTGTGAGTGCGAATGACCAATACAAATACAATGACCACGTTAATAGCCACATGCATTCAAGTTCATCAATCAATGAATTGAAGGTTGGAAAAAATTCAAAGACAGTTTTCAATGTATCACTGTAGTTCGTTCAGCTAAAATTTATATTTAGTTGCTATGTATTTAGAAACCAATTTATAAACGGTATTTGTATGAGAGAAATCACCAAAGATCTAATTTATAGAAAATTTCAAAACTAAAAAGGTTATACACATATTAGAACCCTTTTATATTGTAACACTATCATAAGATTGACTTAGATCTTATTGTCAAGGTGATGTGGACACTTATAAAGAGAAATTTAAGTACAAATGTTGCAATAATTCAAGTTAATATGGAGAGAGATTATGAGCATAAAGCCTTCAATTGGAAGGCATATTTGATATTCTCGAAGAGCCATTTCAAAACCTACCTAAAATGTTGCTAGCCATCAAATATTCAAATCTAGAAACAATTGTCACTTAGAATTATAAAATGGTTAATGAAAATAAAGCAACATTTAGGAGTATTTTAGGCATTTAATGGATCAATTGATGAGTTTTAATATTGTTATCCTCTAATTAATATTGATAGTACTTGCTTTTATGTTAAGTACAAGGCAAAGTTACTAGTTGCAATGATTATGTTGCGAACAATAAAATTTATTTGCTGTGTTTTTCTATTGTTGAACAAAAGAAGATAAACAATAATTGGAGTTGGTTTTTAGATTTACTTTAATGATATGTGATTGGTGATCACATCAGTTTATGTATTATATCAAATAGAAATGCAGCAATTAAAAATTTCATGATCTAGATTTTATCAATGTTCACAATATTTTATGAGTAACTTCAATATTAAATTAAAAAATGTTACCTTGAAAAATATGTTATATAGGATGTGTACAAATCCTTTTAAATAGAATTTTAACATTTTATATAAGAATTTGATAGAGACTGATGATGCGATCAGAGCATGACTAGAAGTTAAACTTAAAGAAATTGTCATATAATTCTAGTGGTTGTTGTTATGGCAATACAACCACGAATAAGTTAGAGATTTTTAATAATGTTTTAAATTATTCATGGCTTGTTTATATCGGTTATAGTGCAAATAATATTTTTGAGGTGTAATAAATATCTTGTGGATCGTAGAGAAAAAGATGAAGATTTTTTAAATCGTGTTGTATTCCAGCTTCTAAAGGTCCTAGTTGAATTACTTGTTAATGTGACAACTTCTAGATCACACATGATGTAATAGTCCAGCCCAACTTGCCAGATGTTATCTGTTTTCAGCCTTACCACCCTCACAGTTTTGTTTCTGGTGACGTGAGCCCACATCTGAGCTTGACGTTCGAAAACGGGTATGACAAGTTAGCAACCATAACTCTTAATAAGACTAGTTACCAATCTCTCACCCGCTGATGTGGGATATGACAATCCACCCTTTTTAAGGAGTCCGACAAACCCGTCGACACAACTGGACAGTCAGTGAGGTTGGCTCTGATACCAAATGTAACAGCTTGACCCAACTTGCCATATATTGTCCGTTTTGGGCCTTACCACCCTTACGGTTTTGTTCCTGATGACAAGAGCCCACATCTGAGTCTGATGCCCCAAAACACAAATGACAAATTACCAATCAATACTCTTAATAAAGTCAGCTTTAATCTTTCACCTGTCGATGTGGGATATGACACATGATATTTCTATTTAATTCTAAAATTTAGATATTTCAATCTAAGACACCTCTAACAATTGGTGTTACAAGAGAAGTATAATAAATGGTTAACATCAATGAAGCAACCTGTACTTGTGGCAAATGGCAACAATATCATCGACCATGTTTATACCTAATATGTGTTACACTTTATAAAACATAGATTATTTGTAATTTGTTGATGATTTCTACTCCAACTTGTCATACAAAAAAGTATATGGTCCTCATTTTCAACCTTCGTCTAATCGCCATTGTAGCATATATATATATATATATATATATTGGTCTAGATGTATAAGGATATCCAATTATATGATGAATGAATTAGGGTCAAAGAAAATCCCCTCGTCTATATATGTCTATATATTAAGATTGATTCTAAAGAGGGGTACTCATTGAATAGATGCAGTATATGCTATCAGAAAAGTTATAATAAAAAAACTTATGAAACTAGACAATATATATTACTTTTATTTTTGTTTTAAATCATGTAAACTTTAATTGTTGTTTGTAATTCAACTATATGAATGTAAACCAATAATTTGTTGATAAACCTCAAAGGAAGTATGGTTTAGACTAAAAGAGGTTTTACTACTTTTAAGAGTGTCGATAGATAGAACCACGTGGTTGTTGAAGTAAGTTTTGATGAAAAATTGATTGTATATATGCAGGATCAGTATTATTCCAATGATAATTAGAGCGGAGAGGTAATATGTTTAGATTATTAGCATTTGTAAATAACTATTTTAATTAAACATTGTAAATTATTAAACTTTAATGATTTTAATTGTTTAAATAACTAAATTACTTGATTTTTAGGATGGTGATCTTGTAACACCTTGAAAACATGCACCAATGAAGTTGCATGGTGTATCTACTTATTTGTTATTAACAGTGGTGTTTTTTAGATCAATCATTTGCATAGTATATTCTTGATTAGGTATTGATTGCAACTCTAATTGAGTGATGGAAATATGAGACATTTTACATTTAAAATATATATACAAAGTTAACTCTCTCTTCTTCTTTTTTGGTATATATGATTTAGATTAAAAACATTTCGAAGATCACGTAAAAAAAAGGACAGAAAATCTGAACATTGAATATAACAAACGGCTTGTCTTGATATCAGTTTCAAGTGTTCAGATTCTTGGGGTACAAGTGAAGAGGAACACGAAAGCTTTGGTGCTGAAAACTAAATTTAACTCATCGCCCAAACGAATTTGCAACATCAAGATGGTAGTGCAAGGCATCTGCGTGTAGATATTGCAATCCAGCAACATCGAAAAGAAAAGGAAAGGAAAGGTAACGAAAATAGTTTGCAGAAGCCTAGGTGGTTACACCTCAACCAAGAAATAATCCGCAACGACGACAGCCAAATCTTAATTCCAAACTGATTAGAATAGACCATCTATGCTACACGGATCGCAAACCAAATCCACCTCAATATTAAGGGATTTTAACCTCGACGTTGTCTTTTATCAAAAAAATAAAACCTCAATTTCAGCCTGAGGCCTCCAGCCCCTTTTCCTCTGATAACGCAGCGAGTCCTACATTGAGCCAAAATATCTGCACTGTCCTACAATGGCGGCTAAACTATCCAAACAATAATAGCAACAGCTTCCTACAGATAACTTGTCGCTTCTCCAAACCAAAGTCTGCAGCGTCCGACACTGGGAGGGAATCAAAATCACAAGAGGATTAACGGACTGACAACAACCACCTCCACGGTGCAAGCATATCACACGCTCAAAGTTTTCCAGGAAAATCCCATCCTCACTGTTTTCCGTTTTGTCACTCACCACCATATTCATTTTACAGTAAATTATATCTGGGCAAGATTCAAGATTTAACTCTAAAGTAAACTAAGATATTTGTTCCACCATTATGGAGGCGAAAACTGAATTATGAGATAAAAAGAAATCCTGTCGAAGATATTAATTAAGTTTAGCAGTTGATACCATTTAAGTTGCAGAAAAGCTATAAACAACATACAGAACTTTACAAGAAAGACAACAAGGTCGTAAATCATAGGGCATAATACCAGGCCTGTTTTGAGTCCTTGGAAACATGAGCGGTGGTAGCTTCATCTTGTCAATTTGTAACGACAGAGAACGAAAGACACTGAAAGAACTTGGCTATGGCAACCCACGACACCCAAATGTGTTTTCCCCACTGTATGTAACATAGAGAAATCCATCTTCATCCTTGTTTTCATCATAGATTGTGGACATTATTGCTCCTGCATATGTTCGGACTAAATAATTATCACTCCAGGTTTCTGAAAATGTTTTGCCTGGATAATCTAAAAATATCCACGATTTTAATGGGAACACACCAGTTACATAAACAAATACATAGACTAACTGATATACGTGCACTGCGTATGAACTAATTTGTGTTAAACAAAGTTAATATTGCTATACAA